GAATGCTGGTAAAGAAGTTGTCAATGTACACTACAGTTTCTTTGTCACGAAGTTGCATAACAAGGTCCGTAACAACTCGATGTCCTAAGCCTCTCTCAGAATTTCCACCACTTTTCCCTGTATACACTTGAAAATCATACAGATATCCACAGCGTGAACAAGCCAATTCCCAGATTTTGGTGCCCTTTTTGATCGGTTTCATAGGAAGATATTGCTTGAAAGGATTTTTTCCTTTTCCTTTTACCATATCTTCATCGACACAAACTTTCTGGCCAATGTTGTAAGCTTGTTTGAATTTTTCTCTCATGACATTGATCAATGGCTGTAATTTGTAGAGCTTATCATAGCCTTCATCAGTAGGAGCAGGTTGTCTTGTATTGCCAGCCAAATGAAAATTCTGCCACAGTTGCCAGAATCTGTTTCCGGTAAAAATATTTTGTCTTCCAGGAACAGCAAAAACCCAATCACAAGAAAAGTAGTGATGAAAATTAGGTAGCCTGTGTACAGCCATAAAAAATAGTGCTCCAACAAATGTTTTCATTTCATCTTTATTCGTATCATTGAACCGAGATTTTCTCTGTTTCTGAGCAACATAAATGTTAGTTTGTTCCACTAAAACATCCCAGAGTTCTTCTGGAAATAAAAGACTAAAAAAATCATATGGCTCAGACTCGGTAACTTGAAGGGACCGGACCATGTTGTCCTCTAAAATCAGGGAATGAAACAACAACATCCTGATCAAGATTTCCCCACCTTACAGTTGAAACTTCTGCATTGATACCGGGGATTGTGATCGCACCCTTCTTGTAGTGGTTCCACGCACCCTTCCTCCACGTGGCCTTCCTCGGCTTCTTCCACTTGATCTTCCTTTAGTGGTTGTTGTTGTTTCATTTCGCCGTGCTTCACCCTCACTGTCACTCGACTGATCTAGTGAATTATCTTCCTGCTCAATAGCCGTTTCTGAATTTTCTGAATCATCAGAGTCCGAGCTAGGCTCAAACACATTCACTCATGTCATCTCCATCTTCACCTCCAAAGTCAGAGATATCACTATCATCAGGGACATCCATGACAATCCCGCAAACTTCTTCTGCAGTGTAATGTCTGGTTCTTCTCCCAGCCATGTTGTTATCTGCCTGCTGATGTTTTAGCAATTTTGAGCGAAAAATGACTCAGTGGTAGGTCGAAATGTAAAGATTGATTTACCTACGCCATTTTTAAATATCATTCCGGACATTTAAATCGAAAGTTCGAAGAAAAACCGGTAAATTCAAGCGATATATCGAAGAGAACTACGTGACAAAAATTCAGAAGACTCGAAAACAACGTCAAACATCAAAACGAGGCTGAAAGCTTCCTTGAGAGCAATTTCGTTCATGTTAGAGGCAAGTTTTGTCCATGACATCATAATTATGTGCGGGATAATCTGCGCTTGTCAGATTAAGGGTTAACATTGAGAATAACCAACTTTGTTTTGAAAGCAAGGACATTTGTTGAACCCAGAGTGAAAATATACATATGTAAAACTTCATGTTAAACGATTAGGTGGGCAGTGCTCGAGGTTGTCTTGCAAAGGAACTGTCGGCTTAAAATTTGGTTGCTCCCAGGAACAAAGCCACTGGTCAATTTTGTAACATGAATGTATGCAAATGAAAAAGTGAAACAACGTTAACATGGCCATAGTTTATTTAGTGGTAGTAATTGCAATTTAAGGGAGTGTGTTTACAGGGAGGGGTGATTAGAGTGGGTAGGTGGAGGGTTAGTGACTTCAGGAGTGTGCTGGGAGTGTTGAGTATGATATTCAACAATTAATGAATGAGGCTGAGTATCTTATGAAGAATTATGGAGATTGAGGAGGGCGTTATCAGATAACACCCTCCGAGGTTTGTCTAGCTCCACAAATATTCTCCAAGTAGCAGATGTTGCCCTCTGAGTTGTCTTCTTGCTGTTTTTACTATGTTTTTAGCCATTATTTCGCCTAGTTCCAGCTTTAGTTCTTATTCTTGAAATTAGTGAAGTGTCCGCCATTTTAGTTTTTACAACGAAAACAACTCAATCTTGTCCCCAGGTATTCTCGGTTAATTGTGCATTAACCTGTAGAAGGCTGCATTTTTGACATCATTTCCTCATTGAACACAAAATTCTTCCAAATTTGGTCTGTGAGTAACTGGTTATGGTGAATTGTGCATGTGCTTTTAGCCAATCAAAATTGGGGAAATATTTTGAATGAATAATAATTAGCAATTAATGAATAAGGCTGACTAGGATATGAAGAATTAAGCAGATCGAGGAGGGTGTTATCCACCGAAGCCAAAGGCTGAGGTGGATAACACCCTCCAAGATCTGCTTAATTCTTCATAGCAGAGCTTCACGCGCTTGGGCGGAGCCCCTTTGCTAAGTAAATCTACCCATCTGAGAAAATTTGGCAATCACGTGACCGCACACCGACTGACCGCCCGCCGTCCGTCCGCACCACAGGAAAACCAATGTTTACTCTCACACTTTTAGCTAGTTTGGGAGCCCAAGAGAAAACTAATTGCACAGGCTGCACATCGATGTCGTGATCAATTGACAGCTATCAAAACAGGGCATCCGCTGACAAGTATCACCTGACCGTACCGCGGGTTTAAGTGTCGACCCATTGAGGTCAAGTATTTTTTTAAAGTTATCCGCTGACAAATTACCAGTTTCAAATGGTCGCAGGCTCAAGTTTATTGTTCCAAGGATTCATATCTAATATGTTGTGTTTATGTCACTATGGCCCCGCCCTATTAGGATTTTGATTTCAAACTGACCTCGGAAGCGAAAATTCATCCAGTTTTTTTAAAAGTACAGGGGGGGAAGACCTTATCTTACCATGGTCATGCGTTGGTCACGCTCTACTTCCAATTTTTATACTCTGATTGGTCAAAATTTGACAGGTGAGTTTATGCGGAAAAATTATGCAGCATCTTGAAAGTAGTTTACTTTGACAGCTGAAGCTGACAGAGTTTTGTGTCAACTTGTGATGTTTTTAACTGTCTTTTTCCTCTGGAGGTACAAAATGAAATACAGCTGCTATCAAGAGTCTTCTGTTATTCATGGCTGGTTTGTTTACTGGGTTTTGGTTAAGAAATGCGTCGCTTGTCAAAATTCAGTAATTCGATTTCGGATGGCATCGTTTTCGTTTTTCACCTTGCTTAATGCGTAAGAGGGTTTGAAAGTCTCAAGCAACTGTGGCCTCCCTTGATAGCTTTCAGGAACTGAATCTTGAATGGTAAGCCTAAGTAATTATTGTTTTTGATGTTTGTGTTTCATGAAGTCTTGCACAGTTCACGCTGACAGTTTATGCGGCAAGTTTATGCACGTTGGCAGGATTTGAGTCAATGATCTGACCTAGTATCAGGTTTGATATAAGCTTACAGAACTTTAGAAAGCCTTCAGATATATTTGCTCACCACAAATAGAATGCAAACGTTCCGAAGGATATTTAGTTATAAATTTGGCTGTAGAAAGAAAACTTTGAGCGATTTTCTTGCTTCGAGGAGTTCACCTTCGAAAACAATAAACACCGTGCTGGGAAACATAAACTTAAGCTTTACGCTTAAAGACTCAGGATTTTTAGAGACACTTTAATACTTGTCTTCGTGAATGAAAATTGTTGTCTCTGTAAATGTTTCACGGAATTATATCTCTTAATTTGATTGTTAGTAGTCTCTCTTGCAATTTTAATCGTTTGTCCGTGCCGTTTGTTTTCATCGTTCATGACCATCGCTTGCAGGAGTACTCAAAAATGTTGCGCGTATCAAACGCTTTATAAGATTACACATCGTTATAACTGAAACCATTAAATAACAAAACAAATAATAATAAATTCGCTGTTATGTTGAAGCGTAACTCTGTTAAAGTTCATTCAAACACTCGACCACACTGACAGCTCTATAGAAACGAGAACCAGCTGGCCGTATGGGTGATTTTGGAAATTTTCTGAAATTTTTGAACGGTTTTGGCTCGTCCTGAATATTGACTGAGTGCAATTTGTCTTGAAAAATTGTGAAATACCGCATTCTGTCCGAGCTCTGTATGATAAATAGTACTGTTTCACCTCAAATGTGGTGTATAAAAATTATAAAAGGTTGGTTTAAACACCCCCAGATTTGTTGGCAAGAATTTGTAAAGTAAACCTGTCGAGCGCAAAAAAATTTGGCGTGATTTGTTTTCCAAGAATTTGTTTTCGAGGCCTAATCTACTGTGATCTTGAATGTGATCGAAGATGTTTGCTATTTTTTGGGTGTACATAAAAGGTTATCAATTCGATGTAAGATGTTTCACTCGAAAACAACGTAGCCTTTCCCTCAAAAGTCACATGAATGTGCCCTTAAGTTAAATGATTTGTGGATTAAAAGTTTATTGTTTGATTTAAATTATAAATTTATTAAAATTGGAGCTTCGCTTTTAGCCCTGGTTAAATCTATATATTATCCTACGAAAGCTGAATTCATTTATTGCTTTATTATTCATTCAAAATAATTCTTAGTTTAAAAACATAACTAAAACATGCTTACCTGCATCGATGTTAAGTTCATCTTCGATAGTGTACCTTAAGGTATGTCCAGCTTTGCAAATATTCTCCAAATAGCAGATGTTGCCCTCAGAGTTGTCTTCTTGCTGTTTTTGCCATGTTTTTTGCTATTATTACGCCTACTTCCAGCTGTAGTTTTTACTCTTGAAATGAGTGAAGTGTCTGCCATGTTTATTTTCACAACCAAAACAACTCAGCCTCGTTCCCACAGTGCCTCAACCTTAAAGGTCTTTCATCTGGCGAAAACGTGAATAAAAAACTTGCCTTCATTTTAAGTTATATGAAAGATTAAAAGTAATAATAACGAACTTGAAAAGATGAGATTCTTCCCTGCACTACTTTTGAAGAAATCAAAGGTTAAATTTTGTTGTCAAGGGTGCCATTTTATGACACCATATTGGATTTGCAGTTGCATAATCGCGCAGCGGTAACTATCCACATGCGCGTTGAATTTCTGTTTGAGTGCTTCATCGTGATATCTCGCGTGCTGATCTCGCAGACTTCATCAGTGAATTGGAATGATAAGGTAAGCCATGTTCATCTTTTTTGTAAGTTCTCCCATTTTTTCTTTTGTTTTTAAGCTTTTTATGATCCAAACTTTTGTGTTTTCCAAAACAGATCATGGAAATTAAAGCAGAAGCTATCGGAAGTCTGTCAAACCTTTTGCGTGAACGCGGGTAAGTCTCTTGATTTCAGTTTATCCAACTATTTAAGAACTATTCTTTCGTCTTCTACATTTGTTAAATATTTCAATACGTTGTTCTTTTCTTTTCCAGCCTTGAGTTACCTGTAACCCTGAGAGACCTGCTAGTCAATGCGAGGTCTTTATCAGGGAAGACCCATAACAAAGAACTCCGATCATTTATTTACAGGGAAATGTTTACGTTTTTGGTGGTAGGTAATCTTGAAACCATGTCTTAAAAATGATGGTCTGATTTTTGTTAGAATCAGTGATGTCATTTATAACTTTTTGCAGTCGAATTGAAATCAACAGCGAAATAAAGCATTCGGTTGGGAGCATGGAAGAATATACATGTACTGAAGGTGTGAAATTTGCAACTGTGTTCCACGTGTGCTCCATTTGATCAGCACTCCGTGCAGTTGCAAATCGCAAAAGAATGCCAAGTTTGTGGCTTTTCGATCCAAATCAGGAACATAATATAACATTCTGCTTCCATTTTTTCTCTCTTTCGACGTTTTGATCGCTCAAACTTTACCCTGAGAATCTCTATGGATTAAGTTTATCGATTGTTCATCTCAGTCGACTTTTGTCAGTGTAGAAATGGGCTTATTCTTTTGTTATAAACCGTTTTTTCTACTATGGAGCGAAGAGTAGTGTAATCAATTGATTGTGTTATTCAGTAGCCCACTATTGTCCTCACTCTAAGAAGTAGGGTCTACATCTTCATGGGTTTATGCAATGACTGAAGCTGATCACTGCAGTAATGAGAATCTTTAGATTTGGGGATTAGTAACCAATCCTAAACACTTGTCTCTACATAAATACCGAACACTTAGCACACTGAAATGTATCTTTCTTTTCCTTTTCCAGCATCAAAATGGCATAGGAGATGGGTCATCCCTCATATATCCCCCCGAAATACTTGACACTATTCGTCAACTATATCCTGGGGTTATAAAAAATTATACACCCAAGAGTAAAAAGGTAACAAAAATTGAATAATTCAACTTATGTCAAGAAACTAGAGTAAAATTTTAAGACTTTGTTTCTGTCATAGAGAAAGAGCTTCTACGAAGTACCTCTGGAGGAGCTCATCGAAGTTTACAAGGAGGCTGATATGAGGGATGGCTTACAGGTAAGCACTTTTTCCATGGGTGGAGTGTTGAGCAAACCACTTTTGGCTTACTTAACCTATGGCCTTCGCAGGAATGGCTCAGTATTCTATGCGATGAAGCTTAATGGGTTATTGACCCATATCTGTTTGGCGCCATAGACCTGGTAGTTCATCCAGAAAAAAAGATGGGCAAGGCAGGAATGGCCATTGCTTGACTGCATTTTTTACAGCAAGAGTAATATTACTAATTATCTCTTTAATAGTAGAGACAATCAAAATGGAAGATGTGAAATNGATGAAGCTTAATGGGTTATTGACCCATATCTGTTTGGCGCCATAGACCTGGTAGTTCATCCAGAAAAAAAGATGGGCAAGGCAGGAATGGCCATTGCTTGACTGCATTTTTTACAGCAAGAGTAATATTACTAATTATCTCTTTAATAGTAGAGACAATCAAAATGGAAGATGTGAAATGTACATTAGTCCTATATTTGAATGACATGATTACCCTAACACAGGGTTGTCACTAAGATTTCAAGTTGCCGTGTAAATACAACAAGTAGGCGGGGAATCAAACAGCTAAGGATTTATTTTGGTTCTATTTTTCTTGTATTTTCCAATAAAAGTAGCCGGGGACCATTCTCAGTAGCCGGGGAAAATCCCCGGCCCCCGGATCTTAATGACAACCCTGCTAACAATAGTCCAAATCCTCCTTTAGCAGGACTGGGTCTTGTCTTTTTTTTGTTACCATTAATTTTCCTTGCGTTCATTTTCTCTCTCCTTTGTTTGCAGCAAGCCCAAGATGGCCCTAGCTCACCAGCAGCCAAAAGACCAAAAAAGAATTATTAAAAAAAATTAGGAAAGCCACTTCCACCTGATTGCAAATAAATAATTTTTAATATCTCTTTTTTTCTACAGAAAATAACTATTATCTAAAATGCAAAATTTATTTTGAAATAAGTCTCAATTTTAGAAAAACAACTCTTTTTGAAGATCTCATGAAAGTGGACATAGGAGTCCAAGAAAAAATCATTTTTTCATTTTTTTAGTGAGCACTGTTTTCTAGAAAGAAAATGCAACACAAATAAATACAATTTTGCACAGTCTAATGAAGGTCTTGTTTCATGTGTAATAGTGGGGACTAGACAATATTGTAAGTTCATATCCTATATGTTATAAATTATTGACAACTGTGACTGACCATAGACACCCAACTGGGTAAAAGACATTAAAATTACATTAGTCACCCGTACCTTTAAAAAAAGTCACCCACATGGATTCCCCCCACCACTTAATTAGTACATGAATTTCAGTGTACAGTGAACCAATGGTACCTAAGAGAGACATAAACTTTCCAAATTAGCAGGGCTTAAGTTTACTTGGGCCATAAAATTTACGTAAATCTAGACCACAGGCAATCCTTAAGGCCTTCAAATTATCAAAGTTCTACTTATAATATCTAGAGATGCAGTAAAGACATGAAAGGCAATAATCCCAATTTTAGATTATTTGCATTTGTTGGAGTGGTCATGACCTAAATTTTATATCTCCATAAACATATAGACTTGACAGCTTGATACCTAACCATCTGTTCCAATCAGTATCAACAATAGTATGTAAATTTCCTTACAGGTATGTAAGAAAGAAAGAAAGAATCAAAATATTATTTGGAATAGAGAATTCACAAACTGGTTCAGAACTTGAATTGCAATAATACCTACAATTACAATTATTAATCTATGACATGTCAACAAAGAGGGATAATAAAAAAGACGGAGAAGATATTTCTCCTATTTGGCTAGCTAAAATTATTTTTGAAGTAGTAACCCGAGGCAGAAAACTTGAAACATGGCCCTTCTGCCACTTTCTTTTACACTGATACTGCAAATTATGTTTAATATCAAGTTTTGTCCAATCTTTCCGCCTTAATAACGGCAGACAGTTCTAGTAGCATTGTTTTGACTATACCTAAGTATAGAAACTTTTACATTGCCTTATTTTTATCTTGCTCTTCGTCCTAGCCCATTAGACCATTTCCAACTTCCATTTGTAAGTAGCCACTTTCATCCATTCTGTCTTCCACAAAACTCTCTTACACATGTCTCTTATTCAATGGGCATAATGAACTGGAGCGACGCGTATGGTCTTTGCCACCACAAACACAGGTTTTTGTTTGTGTCTACTGTCTTGATGCCTCTCTGGTTGCAGATTCCTGTCTTGTTGCACTACGTCTTTAACTAACAGCAGCCAAAGCTGTATGTTCATCCAAGTCAACTTCTTCATCATCAATGCCATATGTGTGAATTATCCTCTGTCTCTTAGTAAGTTGGCGCCTGATAAAATAGATGAGTACTTGTGGAATTAAAATCTTTGAAAAACACAAAATTTTAATCAAAGAACTTGAACTGTGACAGTGACCCTATATTTACCATTCTCAGGAGGTATCATATGCTTATTTCACAATAGCGAAGAGAGAGTTTCTAAAGAAATATTGTCATCTGTGAGAGTGAAACACACAATTGGTTTTACCAACCAGGTCAATTAGGTGAATTTTCAGCTATAGAAGTAAACTGAAAGCTGCCACTTTGAGTGCTTAACCAGAGACTGGCTTTGAAGCTTATGTGCTCCCTCTGTTGCTTATTATTATTATTATTATTATGTCGCAGTGTGAAACTTTGGAATGCTGTCCACATTATGAGTAGTATAGGGCGCATAGCGTAACCTACACCACTTGAGAAGCTATACTTAGAAGTAAAAAAAAGTCGATACGAAACCTAATATGATCCTAAAATACATAGTGGTATGAATCTCTCTACTTAAAAAGCCAATTAAGAATATTATCAAATTCTGATACTCTGTAAAAACTTCGCTATCTCTACTAAAAGCTTATTTATAATAATATAAAACTCTAATGTTCTAAAAAATCTAAGTAAAAACGTCAGCAAGCTTGTGTTTCTAGATTTCTAGAGAAAAAACAAAAACCTAAAAACTGAAGTCCTTAGCGCCTTAACTAAGTATTTATCTTAAATGTTCTGGCAATGCTTAAAGTGTTTGAGATGACCAACTTCTGCATCCGCTCAAGTACGCTCCGTGCTCTCGCTCCAATTAGCTTCCTCACCGACTTCTCCAGGTGTTTAAAGTAACCACCCAGTACGTCAATTATTATGTTGTACTGTTCAACCCTGTAACCATTGTATCTCTGCTTCAGCTCCCACATCATGGGCCCATACTTGAGTGTCTTTTCCTGATCTTTCTTAGCTCTACTCTCAATTCATGGGCAGCTCTTTTCAATTGTGCAGACTTCTTTCCTCTCATGGCTGACAAGTCACGCGTCGATCCGATTTGCTCTAACTTTGTTGTGCTCTGCATAGATGGGAATATCCCAAAACGCCTCACTCGTGGTGTTCTGGTAGGCTGGTTTTGGCATCACCGGTGAGTACCATGGTGGAACCTCTTCTATTAACCCATGCTCTCGCAGGAGCTCAAAAAACAGAATCTTCAAAGCTGCATTATGCCTGTATAGGTACTTGGTTTGTGCCAGGGAGGAACATCCAGCTAATACATGTGCGACGCTCTCNGTGCTCTGCATAGATGGGAATATCCCAAAACGCCTCACTCGTGGTGTTCTGGTAGGCTGGTTTTGGCATCACCGGTGAGTACCATGGTGGAACCTCTTCTATTAACCCATGCTCTCGCAGGAGCTCAAAAAACAGAATCTTCAAAGCTGCATTATGCCTGTATAGGTACTTGGTTTGTGCCAGGGAGGAACATCCAGCTAATACATGTGCGACGCTCTCAGCTACCTTCCCACATAACCTGCATAGAACTTCGCCATCGGTGGAAGTTTGCGTCTTCTCCTTTGTGTAGAGCTTCGTAGGTAACAACTGCTCATACAATTCATACATGCCCGCGATGGTATATGTAGGGCATGTAGCCCAACATTTTAACCATGCAAAGCAGCTGGTTATGCTTAGGCTCTCATCTTCCCATCTGATACGGAATAACTTTCCTTGCCACTTTTTGTCTTTAGCAATCTCCAAGAACTAAATTTACTTACTGGTAAATTAGAATGACCCTTATTATCTTTATTATTATTATTATTATTATTATTACTATTTTCTGTTTTTTAAAGAAAGTGCAAGTTATACAAAAAAAAGTCTGTCTTCAGGCAAATACAAAAAGTAAATGAGAAATACATCTGGTTTAGCTAGAGTCTGGTGAAATAAAGCTAATTTGAATGCCACAAGAGTATGCCTGTTACAATTATTATTATTTTAATCTAGTACCTTTTTTCTGTTCTTGTTGATGCCTTTGCTTGAATGCCACTCATTTCCTCTTTGTGTGATCTGTTTTGTGGTAATTAAGTCTTTTCATTCTCTCCGAGTTTTCTTTGGAAATAATTTCCTCTATGCCATCAATTTGGGGCAAGCCCATTTGTCCAAAAAGTTCAAGAACCCAGTGATACGTAGAGCCTTTGCGCTTGATGAGGTACGTCATGTTCCTTTGACAAAGACCCACATTAGTTGACACCTCATAGTGCATCTGGTGGAGATTGGTGTCCTTAGGTGTGAACTTCGTGAGGACACTAAATTTACTTTCTGGTAAATTAGAATGACCCTTGCCCATCACTAGATCTATGACCTCATTTGCCTCCTCTGCAATCCGATTGCATTCAGTCTCATAGAGAAGGCTGTGGAGGTCACATGTTAATGCCCTTCCCCTGACCTTGTGTGGTCTACCCTCACAAGTAAAGTTGGTATTGTAATCTTCATCACCGTCTTCACTATCTTCACTTCCTGCGCTATCTCCACTATCACTATTGTCACTGTCCTCCATGGTCTTATCCTGAACTACCTGCCTTCCTGACACCCTGCTACCTGTTTCGCTATCTTCACTGTGTACACTATCTATCTGCCTCTCCTTCCCATCACAGTTGCCACTTGAACAAACATGGATGGGGTGCCAAGGCATCTGTAGGTTTTACCATCATCTCCAGTCCACTCGTGAATGTCAGGGGAATGATATTTCCCCAGAATACGCATACGAATGGCATATTCCTCTGGGTCATTCCCACTTTGCTTCAGGGCTGAAAAGTGGCTGCTTTTGGCCCTACCCAGAATTTCATCTGACATGCAACCACAGGTTTTCGAGTGGGCTCGCTTCCCAGCACTCTCACATTTTGCTGTTTCCAACTCAGGATAATTCCTCTTTTGAGTGGCCACAAAAGACAAGTCTACAGATTTCTTTCCTTTGTAGTCTTTAAGATTGTTGGCATATGAGCGACCCGGAAGCTTTCAAGGGTTTTCACCGGACAGTGCTTTGAATCAGGAACCTCAAACATTTTACCGTTGGATTTGTCAGGGTTACCAAAAATTGATCAACCAAGTATTTACATGTATGTTTTACAAGATCTATAAAGGGCTTGTTGGTATTTCCCTACTACCTGAAATATCTCACACTACGAGGGTTACAAGATCTCCTAATTGTGCATCATTTCTTCAACTCACCACACTGAATGATGCCTATAAATTTTCCTTTAATCCTAAAAGTATCAGATACACTTATCTGTAATCCCTGATTTATTAGCTGAATGTGAAGCCATTATCTGTAGCATGAAAGATATGGAGTATACTCATCAAAGACTAAAAGTTAAAGTTTGATTGACTACACCTTGTGTCACTCAGTTTCATACACCGCGCTAGTTTAGTTAGCTGCATGCAACTGCTAAAAGAAACAACAGAAAATATCCAAAAAAATATTCAGTAGAACTTTAATGTTTCATAAATAAGTACGACTGGTGTATACACACTATGATTAAAAAAAATTCTAATGCTCTTACAGTGAAGGAT